CGTAGTATGATTTAATGCAGCGATAATACGATAATGTTTCTGATGTATGCCTTATCTTGATGCAGAACAATTTCTGGTTCAAAAAATAATGTCAGGAATATTGAACACTAAAATGAATTATAAACACAATCATACAATATCAAAAAGTTCCGCGTATTCTATTGATTGCAAGTGTTGTATGATTTTGAAATTCAATGTAATTGATATACAGTTGAGAATTACTTTAACAGTGTTTCAATAGACTCGTGACCTCATGTGCCTGTAGGACTTTATATTTTAACCAAATACATAGCTAAATACGTAAGCAAATAAAACTATTTGTAATAATTATTCATGAAAAATCTTAAACAAGGAAATAACAACAACCTATTATGATAAAAGTTCGTGGAAGGAAAGAGAAAGCATATATAAATTTTGGTGAAATGGCGATAATGTGATTTACCTGAGTCAAATAACATAACAATATTATATAACAACTTTGTTTTTATATATTGATACCAGTTTTAAGACCTTTTAGTTTAGTCTGAGTGTGAATCTAGCTTTCTAAAGGCAACTTTTTTTTTTAATACCTATCACTTAGTACATTTTATTCTTTGTCAACTATTAAGCGAGTCTTCGTAGTACAATAATGTTTGCTGTTAAAAGCATTTTGCTTATCTTCAAATGGTATGTAATCTGCGACTTGTCAAAATATATCACTAAAATTAGATTTCACATTGGTCTTTCGTGGTTTGCAAAGTCAAAGTCAAAATAATTTATTTCAATTAGACCAGGAAGGCCCTTTTAAACGTCAACAAAAAAATTAAAAGGAAGCTATTTGCCCATTCCAAGAATGCAAAAGCTAAATAAAAAAAAATCTAAATTTATCCCAAATACATAGCCAGTATTAAGTGAAGCCAGGTTGAAGTATAGATTTAGGCAGAAATACATGATATAGAACGAACGCGAGTTCATCAACTTTTCACCAACTATAACAAGAAAACATAAGTATTCGAAAAATAACCGAAAATACAAAAATATACCGCGTCAATACAGTTCAGAAGTTGTCCCCTACAAGTAGTCCGACCACAATTGAGTCACCGCTACACACGTAACCGAAATGTCAATAACCTGTTGCATTTCCACCAAACGTTACGACATCCTTTATTTTGGTCAATTTTAATGACGCATGACGACTCCAACTTTTCTCTTTAGTCACTAAATATGTGTTTATTAAGTAAGTTATGAATAAAATATGACAATAGACACAGTTTTATCAACATTTGTTTAATTATATGGACAAAAAAATGGTAAAAGAACAAGTATCTGCGTAACTAGACTTACAACTGATTTTTTTTTATGGAATGGGAGGCAAACGAGCAGACGAATCACCTGATGGTAAGCGATCAGTGCCGCCCTTAGACACCCGCAACACCAGAGGAGTCACAGGTGCGTTGCCGGCCTTTTAAAAAGGAATACGCTCTTTTCTTGATGCCCTAAATATGACTCTTGCCATATTCATGACATAAATCCATGCTGTGTGGTTTCCCTAAACTAAAAAAATATGCGCTTTTCGATATTGATCAAAACATGGCAATCATCTGAGTCGTAAATATTGTATTTCCTGTTAAAATTAGAGATAAGATTATAATAGTGGCTAATCAATGTCATCAGTAATCCATTTTAGATACGACAGTTTTGTCTAACATCATCTTTTTACACGCAATCTACAACATAACAATATCACCACATAGTATAAAACAAAGTCGCTATCCGCCGTCTGTCTGTCCCTGTGTATGCTTAGATCTTTAAAATCACGCATCGGATTTTGGTGCGGTTTTTTTTAACAGATAGAGTGATTCTTAAGGAAGGTTTATACATATGTATAGTACATGCATATTGCACCCGTGTGAAGCCGGGGCGGGTCGCTAGTAAATAATAAATAAAAATGTTGAAAGGAAAGCCAATATGACATGGAAGATATTCTGACCACTCAAAGAAAGTCTAAAAGAAGGCTACACAATTTTAATAAAAAACTGCATTTCTAAAAAACAAAGAGCAAAAAGATACTTACAATTTTTCGCACTTAACCTTTTACTTAAAAACTATGTCCTACTGACCTTTTTTGCCAAAAAATTAACTACAGTTAGTGAGTAAAGACGCAATTTAGTACAAGCAACTGCACATTAAGCTATACGACACCAGTTCATCGTGATCCCGCTTTGTACGACCTTTCTACACAAGTTACGGTCAGCTTATACTGGATTTTTATAATTTAGTGTGTGTATACAGATTTTGTATGACGTCAATCGGAAGTGATAGTTTTACTTGGAACGCATTGACCTGTGCAGCGGGGAAACCATTAAATAGAAATTATAAACACTAGAATGATTCATGTTTTCACAAACTCGCATGGTACCGTGTCAATGTGATGTCCAATTGTTATAAACAATAATACTAGATAGAATGAAAGGTCTACAATTATAAAAAACATAGCATTAAGCCTTTTATCCCCGTAGAGGTAGCAGAGGTGTAAATTACGGCACTTAATGGCACTGTACAAAGTAACACCCACTTTTCACTATTTATGTTATGAGTCCCATATAATAGGGGTGATCCTATTGCCATGTACCGGGCACATTTCCAAACTCCGTGCTACTACTGAAAAATTCTTAAAACAACCCGAAACCCCTTGCCCGGCAGTCGCACTTGTATCAACTCAGACAATGAGGCAGTGTATAATTACAATTACCTTTGATATCAATATATTGTTCATCACCAGCATCATAATATCAGCCACAAGACGTTCACTACTGAATGTAGGCGTTCTCCAATTACCTCCAGATAGGCTGATTGGAATGGAAGCGGCCTGCATCCTCGATAAAGTGTTGGTAAGCGTAGCTCATGGATTTACGACTGACGTAGACGTAGGCTCAGAAAACATCACTAAAATGACTGACATGACTGCACGGTTGGCGTGGTGGCTGGGCAATTGGCTGCCGCGCAACGTGTCGCAGGTTCGATTCCCGCACGGAACAAGTCTTTGTGTGATCCACAGATTGTTGTTCCGGGTCTGGGTGTCATTGTGTATGTGAACTTGTATGTTTGTAAACGCACCCACGACACAGGAGAAAATCCTAGTGTGGGGCAATGTTTTAAAAAAAAAAAAAATTTTTCGAACTCTTGAGGATAGCCTCAAAAGTTCCCAAAAATTTCCCGTCGGTCGGCTAGACGGAATCCAATGAGTAAAGATGAAAGTGTAATAAACATTTTTCAGCTTTAAAATCCCATTAGTAATACGGATTTTTTTGGATCAAAATATACATATGATTTCTTATGTATGTGTACTGCTAACCTCTTAAGAGTACCTACAAAAAGATATAATGATTTTGTTATGTTTAATAGAGGAAAAGTAATCATTACAAATGAGTACCAGATTGATGCAAATAGTAATTACACTTGTAATGGTCACTAAGCTTAATAATATTGCCTTTTCTGTATGTATTGTAATTCATTGTTCGATTTGATGGTAACTGCAGAAGAGACTAAGTTCTTTATGTAGTTCGACACTCAAATGTATGACGACACTAATGAACAAGAAAAAAATATCTCCCATTTTTAAATATTATTTTTTATGGAATAGGACGCAAACGAGCTCACGGATCACCTAATGGTAAGCGATGAGCACCGCCCATGGACACCCGCAACACCAAAGGAGTTACAGATGCATTGCCGGGTTTTTATAAAGGAATACGCTCTTTTCTTGAAGGTTTGAAGGTCGTATAGGTTCGGAAATACCGCCGACGACAGATCATTCCACAGTTTTGCTGTGCGAGGTAGAAAGGTACGTGAGAAGCGCACAGTTGTGGCCTATATGTATTACATACATTACATATTTCAATACATTTATACGTATTATAATTTTAATTGTATACCAAATAAATACAAACTCCATTCTACACAAACCCAGTACATTAAGCTTGTTCAGAATATTGACACGACTCTCATTTCTTCCAAGCAATTTCCTTCAAATTACACTTACTTGTGTACATCATATAAGTAGGTAACATACTCTCAACAAATTTATAAATAATTGCCACACAATGTACAGACAGCAAAGAAAGCATCAATCACAGCAAATTCGATTCTTGTCCAACAAATTGGAAAGGTTATTGATATCGAAAAAAGTGATCGAAAGTGTTATTGTTTTTGTTTTGTACTAAGAGTAAAAGTGCTTGACCTACAAATAAGTGCATCGCTAGTTTTGCTAACGGTACCGCGCACACAGAGGCGGTCATTGCCCGGCGCTCGCGTGTGTGTGTGAACTAAACACGTTGAGCGGCGCAGGAGTAGGCAACCTCAAGCGGTTTTAATTAAAATGGTAATTGCAAGGACGCTGAGCGAATTTCAAAATAGTAAGATGCATTTAAATATTATTCCTTGTATACCTGCATGATTAGAACAAAATATAGGATATCATTACACATATGTACATGTACATTTCCGTAATTGAACTTACGTACCTATGTTATTCGGTGGTAGATTCAATAAATTAATCAACACAATTCGAAATCATGCAAATGAAGTTGTAATTACACAATTGCAATATAAATTACATTTCTTTTAACTTTGCGTCACAATAGTAAATGTACAAGAACTAGTCCTATATCGTGGGTGCATTCACAACCATACAACCTCACACACACGTAACACCCAGACTGGGAACAACAATTTGTGGATCACGCTACGCCCCTGCCTGTTGGCCAGTCACTAAATCGTGATTCAATAATTTGTTTAATATTTACCTTCAAAGAATTAAACATTGTTTACTACATAATTGTCAACTCGGTAAATAAAATTCAATGTCAATTGATTACAAAACATTTCATATGAATCATCAAACTCAGAGACGGAAACATCCGTCCGCACTTTCCAAATGTTTACAACAACTGGTTTTACCGCTGCGGTTATCAATGAGTGGCGTACATTCTCGAAACACTACCAAGCCTATATAAGCCCCGAGCGGGCTTGCAGCCGGCATAGTACATTACGAAAGCAACGACGACGCAACGAACGATGCAGAAATACGTCTTACTCATTGCATTCATCACCACCGTAGCCTGCCATGAGGCCAGGAAGCACAGGGTGGAAGATCCATTCTCAGCCCTAGATAAACACATCACCCACACACTCGCCTACCATTACCTGTGGCCATGGAGTCAACTCATCCGGGCAGCAGCTGCTCTAGACGTCGAAGAAGTTCTTGAAGAACCCCAGATTGTGTCAGACAACGAGAAACTGCTCATCAATCTCAACGTAAGGAGGTTCAAGCCTGACGAGCTGAGGATCAAAGTGAAGAATCGCTACATCATCGTTGAAGGAAAGCACAAGGAGAAGGATGACGTCCAGCAGTTCATGGCTAACCACTTCGTCCAGCGGTTCGTGCTGCCTCCTGGTAGCAAACAGGAGGAAGTGACTGCGGTCCTCAAGGAAAATGGTGTTCTAACAGTGTCTGTGCCCAAACATGAGCTTCCCCCTCCACCACCAGAAAGGGAAGTGCCCATCGAAGTGAGGCTACCAGTTAAAGTGGAAGACAAAACAGAAATACCTGTTACTGTAAAAGAAGAGAAAATTGAAACCACAACAGTTAAGAAGGAGGTTCCAGTCCAAGCATCTTCGGTGACACCCTTGGAACAGTTGGAATTAGTGGAAGCGACCACACATGTTGGCAAGATCAGGAAGAAGGAGCTGAAGACCACAACCAAAACATCAAAGGACAACGAAGTGTCAAAGGGGATTGATGGGAACGGCTTAGATTATGCTCTGATTGAAGCGGAGTGAATGTAGCTTGGTGGGAGTGAAATAAGACTGAACAAAGCTTTAAAGTGACCGACAGTCATTAAAGCGTGTTTAACTTTTCGAACGGTAAAAGACATTTAAATGACATTAATGCTACAGGTATAAGTCATGTTGTTGTGTACAATAGATCGTTCGAAAGTTTAGGAGCAATAGTTGTTACTATTATTAAGTTTTAATTTGTTTTGAAACATTTGACCCACCAATAAACGGTGTTATTTATTTACCTCTGTGTTTCCATTCCATTCGCGCGGAGCCGCGGTAATATTTCTGTTTTATAAGACTGTTCTTTATGTTAATGTTGTGTGTAAATCTGTGTAACGCACTCTGTCGGGATGAGATGCTGCCTTAATGGTCTAAAGCCTCATTTGCATTGACGGAAAAAGTCTGTGAATTATTTCGCGGGCTTGAATGATGGTCATTCCTTTTGATTTTGGAATGAACAAGGAAAATACAAGATGTTTTGGGAATAGTTACACAGTTAGAATTTATTTTCATTTGGTTACCAGATTGAAGAATGTTACAAACACTATCTGAAATAATTTTAGACAGCATACTTATTCTTAGAGATGTACAAAAAACCTGGATTCACATATTTTCCTGAACATGAACATAAAGTTTTAGAATGTTCCAGACTCATACAACCTGATTCATTTCGCGAGTTTTCCGTACCTAAGATAGCATTAAGAGCAATCTCAGACCAGTAAATATTATGCTGATGTTGTAACTTTATTATGTAGGTAGAAAACTAATCATAATATTTACACAGTACCACGCTTTTCATTCCCTGATGTCGGACATAAGAAATATAACACTAACTTTTCACCAATAAGTTTTTAATTCCGTATAATAAGAATGAGATGATTTCTATGGGTGCGATTTCAGTTTTACAGAAATAAATGGAATCTAAAAGTCTTTGCTCGGCAGTTACCCTTCCAAACACACCACCAACAACAACAACAAGGCAGTAAATTCACGTGATATATGTAATAATAATATGCACAGTGCACGTCAAAAATTTATCATCCGATCAAATTGTATTTATCCATATAATATTTATTTATTTAGACTGCCTCGTTGGCCGACTGGTCGCAAGTGCGACTGCCGGGCAAGGGGTCTCGAGTTCGATTCCCAAGTCTGGCAAAGTATTACTGGGATTTTAAAAAATCTCAGTAGAAGCACGGAGTCTGAAAATGTGCCCAGTATACGGCAATAGCCTCACCTCCTATTACATGGGACTCATAACATAAATAGTAAAAAGTGGGTGTTACTTCTATATGCACATCTGCCTACCCCTTCAGGGATAAAATGTTGATGCATGATGTTATGTTATTTATTATTTAAATCAAATCGACAAATTACACCCAATGCGATAATGTTGTCACTCAATATTAAAACTTGTTATTAACATTGTAATAATTCAGCCTTACTAATTGCACTTATCCATCAAGTAGAAGTAATTACCATCAGTCGTTACCTTTATGAACTCCGCCAATGAGCAACAGAAAATATCTAATTTTTGTTCAACGCTGTAATTATTTAATAGGAGCACAGGAGCATATTGACCTATGTGAGTGCGACTAGAGGAAGCTAGGGCTTTTTGTTGTATGTACGAACAGCCACTGTATATAAACGACCTTTAACCAAAATCTCCGGAGCGATTTAGGAAATTTAATAGTACTTCTATCAAAAATCTTTAAATTAAGATATGATATAAACGAAAGAACAAGAAATTGAATGGTAGAATATGACACCCACCTACTACGTATTATTAAAGAGCCAAATCAAATTATACATTATCTATCAATTGACTGCACGATTGGCGCGATGGCTGAGCAACTGGCTGCCGCGGGTTCAGTTCCCGCACGTAGCAACTCTTTAAAAGTGTCAGTATGACGGTTAGTCTTCTAGTGAATGTTTTTACTTGTTGTGTAGATTCTCATGGAGAAGAAAGCGTAAGGAACTCCATTAGTTACTTTTTTTCAATCTGGTTCATAATACATTGATTACATTGTTTATTTGATTCAATTATGTGAGAACAACGTAACACCAATATTCAGTCAAAGGGATGGAAAAAGAAAATAATCTTAAGGACAATAAAATAATAGATACAGTTTGGAGCCGACTAGTCCCAGTTGACGGCGCCGGTTCACGAACATGACACGTACACCAGCACCGCACAACTCAACCATATTGTAGGGAATCGAGCGATCCAATGGCCGTGCTACCGCCAATAAAACCTTTGCTAAATTGTAAGTTATGACATGCCGTCAATGATAAACGTGCTATTTTTTTTTATATATTTGATGGGCGACTTTTGACCACTATCTCGCCTGGTGGTAAGCGATGATGCGGTTTACGATGGAGCACGTCGTCCTATAAGCAACTTATTCACTCGGGCCTTCAGGAAATACAGGCTCTGGCAAAGAATTCCACTCCTTAGCAGTACGCACAAGGAAGCTTGAAGCGAAGCGCTGCGTGCGTGTGGGTGGAACATAAACCATGAATCAGTGACGTTTCGCCGATTGTCTTGTGGTACGATGATGGAAAGGACTAGGGGGAATCAAGTTCTGCAATTCCCCTATACTAAGCTAAGTATTCAATAAACTGAAAAATATTTGTGACAACATTTCAAGTATGTATAATTTTGTATTTTGATTTATGCACATCATTGTTTTAGTATACATAGATAGTGAGACATATTCATACAATTATTAGAAGTATCTCAAGTATTAATCAACATTGTTGAAAAATTATGAAACATATGAATGTATTTATGCAACAATTGACTGACTTCTTCGTTATTGTATTGCTCACTAATATGACTGTTATGACTTCAAATCAAGAAATATATACTGAAGTCATCCAAACCATTACAGAAATGTTCATTTAGTTTACATTTTGTATTCAATACACACTGTTGAATCTAATATCTGCGTGTATATATTATGTCATGTTTATATTTATGATAATTATTATCCAAGATATTAAACAGGCATTCTTACTATTATTTTAGTATTTATTATGAATAAAAAACTTAAATAACAACTATTACATAAATAAAATTAAAACTAAATATTACTAAATTAAATATATACAACTTATGATTAAAATTAATTATAGGAAAAATAAACTATTTATAAGGCATCGAAAAATTCGTCCGCATCGACGTCAGTGGGGAAAGTACCCAGAAGGCTGGCAGCATTGCCACGTTGTATGGCAATGCTTAACCTCTGACCGAGAAAAAGACCAGCCCTCTGGTCACGAGATGTGTCGACCAGGCGTTTCGAAATGTTTTTGAACAATTTAAGCGCACTCGGACCCCACGGACCTAACGTTTCAACCCCAAACGGCTCAAAGATATAACTACCAGCAAGGTTGTTATACTTGCGCCGCTTGAGGTTTTCTGCAGAGGCAGCAGCCGAACCAGCACAACTCGCCGTTACTGGAAGATGAGAAGGTGCAAGGGTGTCGACGCAGGTTGCGTCCCACACCAAAGACTTTCCCAGCTTCCAGGGCATAATGGACATACCGTCGGGTCTCTTACCATCGTCGCGTGCCAAACCCTTTGGTTCCAGAACAGCTGGTACACCGGCGATGACAAGAGCTCGACGGATGATGTCGTTAATGCTGGCGTGTCGGGCTATCCGGCCCGCGCTTCTGCTACACGATAGGCCGTGGTGGCCGAGGTGGTCGACCATCTCACCGCATTGACAGCGATGCGGAGAAACACAGGGTGCACCTACACGCAAGCAAGCAGCAAGCCGAAAAGTTGAGTCATTCAACATCGTGCCAATATTGAATGACGGAAGTGCCTGAAGCCAGAGACCTGATTCCCACTCACCCACAGCCAATAGGCGAGCTAACTCCGCAGGATTGGTGCTGGTATTAATTAGATTATTATGCACCAACCTGCAAAGCGGCTCGTCCCATTGTCTCTGGGAGGAAGGGTTGACAGGCAAGGCTGTATTGGGACAAGTTTCTGTCCAGGCGTTCATCGCGTCGGTCAGACACGGCACATCGGGTTCAACGTCAAGACCGGCTAAAATATTTTTTGTTAAAGTACTAGTGCTGTGGACAGAAGAGATGAACGCCGGTAAACTAACACTGGAAATTTTGCGGACGCCTAGGCCACCAAAACGAATTGGTAGTGTGGCTTGAAGCCAAACACGATCGTCCATGGAAGCATTCAAAAGTGAAGTTAATGTGTCACGGATAATTTGATCAATTTGGTCCAGAATATGCGGATGTTTCCACAGAGGGGAAGCACGCAGAAAATACATAAATTTTGGGCCGAAACAACAATAGCGAATTAATGTAAAGGCACAATGTAGATTAATTTTGGAAAGTCTATCGGAAATGTCACAGAAATTTTTAATTTTCTCGTTTATGAAATCAGAGAAACTGTTTTCGAAAATTGGGGAACCCAGGAGAAGAAGAGAGTTTTTATCAACAATTTTTAAATTCGGCGCTACGGTAGAAAAAGTGTTTAAAATTCGTTGTCTGTCAATAATTTTGTCCGGAAGGTAAATTTCGCATTTAGAAATATTTAATTCTAATCCGATGGTTTTAAATTTAGAGATCAGAAGCTGTAAGTCATGGAAAACAGTATCTGCGTCACCTCCTAAGGTTCCATCGTCCAAATACCAAACATTAAATTTAGATTTAAGTTGCCGAATAATAGGGTGAATGGCCAGACTGAAAATGACTGGACCAAGAGGATCACCTTGTTGGCAGCCTACCGCAGAATCCAAAACTTTGTCTTTATATAATAATTTTGAAGGTTGACTATAGCACTGCCAAATAAAACTGTAAATTTCAGGTAATTCTTTTTTAACTTCAGCCAACAAAGTGTCCCTATTGATGGAATTGAATGCATTTTTTACATCAACCTTAAGGATGACCTCACTTTCGTTTGTATTCAAGAAAGATGATAGGGCGTGTACGGCAGCCTCACAACCCCCTTTTGAGCCGAAGCCTAGTTGGAGGGGTTGAAAGTGCGACATGAGCGCATCTTTATGAAAGCTGCAACACAACTTGGCTGCCAAACGCCTGTAAGTACAACCTACGGCAATGGGACGTATGCCGCCATCTTTTTTGCGTAGGGCACATAGATTGGCCCCGTACAAAATGTCGATAACGGCATCCGTCACATTACCGGAGAGCATTAAATTAACCAAAACCGTTAGCTCCTTCAGAAGAGACTCACCGGCTTCCCCGACGTCT